TTCTCAAGTGTATAAAATAGTCAAACAAATATGAAATATTTCTTCAACAGCAAAAAAAAGGGTGTAGTTTCATAACCTTCTTCATCTGACCTAGCCTGGCCTTAGCCATCTGTAAACTCCGGTCAGTTATAATTACTCTACATGTACGTCTGGGTCTGATCTTAGTCGCTGCGGTTAACTTGAATCCACTCCGATCATTCAACGGGAGGCGGGTGTTGCAGGGGTTGGTTAGATCAAGTGTTTACACCAAATTTGCTGGTTGTAGATTGGCATTGGCGGCGAATGCGATAATAACGTAATTCTTTCTGGATTGTCTCCAACATATCAAGAAATTGAAGCTCGATCAAGAGGAATGTTTAGCAAGTTTCATCGCTGGCAAAGATATTGTGGCTCTACTCCCCACGGGCTTCGTTAGTGGCAAAGGAGATGCTAGGCTAAATTCTAAATGCCTCACTCACTCGCATTACATACGTCACAGCAAACTTAGATCGAATCGTTTCAATTTGCAAAAGGTGTTAACCCCTCCCACCTTTTAATAGAGCTCAGTTGAGCAAATCTAGACAGTAGTAACAAAATTAATACAATGGTACGATAAGACAAGGCTATAACTGACCCAGTTTAGTTTATATTTGGTCAAGACTGCCGAGCTCTGTGCGTCACGAGCTGGTTTGTCAAAACATTCAATAATTAGTTAGATTTGATACAATATGTGCAATGCAGAACATGGGACCTTAGAGGTTTGTCATACATACACTTGATGTGGCCCCCGGACTACATATATTTATTATCTTGGCAAGCAAATAGCCCGCTATATAGACCCGGAAAACAAACATCTGTACATTTTAGGCCACCCCACCAAAAAAACATCTTCCTACATAAAAAAATAGCAATTTGATGTGACATAGACCTATTATTAGCTTCATGATTTTCCTTTACACTTTTATCCAGGGCTTTGTATTAATTTCTGTCCAAAATATAGGCCTAAAGCAACGTCAGCTCTGTTACTGCTGCTTGAGGGAGAAATCTGTGGGAAATCCAGAGGCTCAAAAGGGTGGTCACTGTTTTGGGAAGAAAAAAATATTATTATTTCTATATTATTATCAAACAGCAGTCTGACCTCGAGAGACAGTAACCGGCTCGACAGGCTGGTCAGGAAATGTGTCTCTGTGATGGGGACTCTGTGGGATCTGTGCCGGAGAGAAGGATGAGGGCTCTAACGCAGGGCATCCTGGGTAACTCCAGACACCCTCTGCATTACTCTATGGCCTCTCAGAGTCATCGAAGCAACAGGTTCCTATCACTGCGCTGCCGAATGGAACGTTTCAAGAGATCCTTTGTTCCTTCGGCTGTCAGACTGTACAACAAACCTGGATGAGTCTTCTGCTGCTGGACACCTGAATATCTGCTACGGGGGATCAAAAAAGTATCTGTCTATCTATCTATCTATCTAACTATTCTCTTCATTTACACTGACAGAGCGAGCAGCAAGTTTTTCTTTACATTTGTGCCACAACAATAATTGCAGGGAAAACAACAAAAACGTACATTCATTCCACACAAAGTTACGATGCGCTGTTTTATATTTTGCCTATGTCCAAGGGTCAGTTTTAGAGGAAATGATAATGCTTGTAAATGTGACCGAATGACACGAAGGTAGCTGGAAGTAAAATAAAAGTGTCATGTGACCAGGGCAGGGCTGTGGGGATGTGGGACAGTACGAACCAAGATGAAGATGGGAAAGTGGGTCAGGGCAGAGGAGAGCAAGAGGAAGAGAAGAGAAAAAAATGAGAGTAAAATGGAGGAAAAAACAAGATAGAACAGTACGAAGACAAATGGCAAGGCTCAGCAACATTGCAATTATACATAAGCTTATTGATAAAGACACAGGTGGACATACATGGGTGTCACAGAGTTGTTGGCAAGAACTTTAAGTTGTAAGGTAAGCTATAACTTGTGCTGAAAGCTGTTCATCAGACTTTAATAAAGGCCAAGAAGGTTCTTTTAATTTCTGATCTCTGACGAAGGCGGAATTAACTTTTTACATTTTAGACTTTCATAATTGAAAAATAAGCAGTAACTATTGAGCTGAATAGCTATAGCCACCACAAGTTTTAATAGAGTGGGACTGAATATACAAGAATTCCACCCTCTCTCAACTCTCTCTGCATGCATAAAATATGATAATCATAATCATAATCATAATAATAATAATTATCATAATCATATAATAATAATAACATGATAATTCCATTTAACTGTTGTTTTTACCTCATTGTATTAGTTTAATTTATATTTGGTTGAAAATATTGAAATCAAATACCTGACCCACGGTTCGAGAAGTGGAGACCAGAGCTATAACAACATTTCTGGATAGGATGAATAATGTATACATTCGTTAAAAAAATCTGTATTTTCTACCATATCATTCTGATAATTCCTCACATCCAATTTTTTTTTTTGAAATAAATACCAAGAACAAGAAACTCAAAGCCATTGTGCGAAACCCCGCCTCTTTCACAAAGCTCTTCCCAGCCCCTCCCATCACGGCTCAGCTCCAATATGAAACTGAAACCAACCCAACATGCATATATTTTATCTGCATAGAATACAGCATTTGTTATGGACCATAATATATCATGCTGATCAATATAGAATTTTGTGTCGAGATAAGATGTAAAACGCAATACCTCTCCATCTTAAACAAACCTTCAAATAACAGAAATACGTAATCAACACTTACAGGCAGCATTTTGATTTTCATACCAGGGGCGGCACTTAGGAGTAACGCAGGAGCAGATGTCTCGCTGTTCGGATCAATACTGCAGATATGAGACTCCAGACATGAGGCCAGAGTCACATAGCAATGCAGTGGCTCCTTGTTTAAGCTTATCAGAATCTCTCACTAAGACCAGCACCGAATTAATTTTAAAGATAGTTGGGGCGAATAATGACAAAACTTCTATCCTAAACAGTTACAATATTGGTTTCTATTGCAGGTCCGTCAACAGAAACTTGGGGACCGGGGCAAGAGGCGTTGTGTGCCCCCTTTTCTTCAATTCATAAATGATCCAATACAATTTCTGTACATGTTTGTCAGGCAACTTGGATTGCCCAGAAAGATTCAAAATAGATTCAATGTATTTTAATTATACTGCTGGACCCTATTGGAAAATAAATTGGATTGGGTGGAAAAAGACTGCCCATCAACTCCCCAAAATCATATTTTTTCATGTTTTTTTAATTACTGCTGCAAGTTTTGCTACAGACAGCAAAAAACACTCACTATCTTTTTTGTTAAAATAAGCCTTTCTGTTAGATTCAGCCTAAACTGTAAAAATCTTGCGCTCTCCTTATGTGGTATGTGTATCCCCTTGTAAAAAGACAGGCGTGCAGCGCTCACATAAATGTACCCTCCTCTGTCCTACTCTGCTCTCTCTCCCTTATGCACAACGTGCGCACACACATGCACTATCAAACGCGCGCACACGCATGCACGCACACACCTATACGTGCGCGCACTCGATCCGCGCGCACAAAAACCAGCGCATGCAGACAGACAGTCAGCTGTGCCCTTCCCAGAGCAAGAAACGCAAAACACAACACACTTTAGCACACACACTTCAACACACACACACACACACGTACACACACAGCTTCCACACAAACTTGCTCGAGCCTCACCGCACACTCTTAAAGGTACAGCACACTCTCTCAACACTGATACCGACCAGCACATGTGGCTGTGGCTGAATGGTGCATGGGAAAACATACTAAGGACTTGTCTTTGGTGACGGTCTTTTAACAGCAATATTGCTCCAAATATGCAAGTTGAACCAGGTTCTGTTATGTGGAATAATACAAAAGGATTTATTTACTGAATTGCGGGCTATAACCTTTGTGAGACATTTTATAACCATAGGGATCTAGTTGAGGGATCTAAAGCCTAGTGTATACTTGCGCAGCTTACGTTAGCGGTTGCGGTGGACCAACGTAAGCACAATTGTTTCCTAATATCCTTCAGCTAAGTTTATTTACCATTTGCAGTTTTGTAATTATGTGCCAAAACTACCATGTAAAAAGCAAATAGATGAAATATGAAAACACTGCATCAAAACATTTGGGAATGTGAAACAATACAAGGGCCCTTGCAGTGTGCTCAATCCCCAACTGGGAGAGGTAGGAGAAAGTTCCCGCCTAATGGGAGGGTTGATTAATTGCATGGACAGTGATTAGGTCAAAAACTCAGTTGGTGACATTTTCCAGGCCTTTGACCTGTGTGGACCATTTAATAGGAATAGGTCATTGTTCAGTACGACTCAGGTGAGCCCATGGGGACAAATATAGAGAAGACAGATAGGCCTTGGTGACTAAGACCATACCTTGTAGGACATAATGTTGTTTCATTGTATTGGTCAAATATTATCATCAAAACTTAGTACTACTACGTATGACCTGGAACAGTTCTTCTGAAAAATTGCATTTAACCTATGGCTGACCCATAGCACTTGGCGTCATATGTAGCTTCAATTTGGGCTAATGTTTTCTTGCTTTGAGAATAAAGCACTCTCCCTATGCTGTGTTTGAATGAAAGAACTATTAACACAGGTAAAGAGCCTAAAACTAGCGAGTACAGAGACAAACATGTAGGGCCTAAAGTCGAAGGCCAGAAGAACTGAGAAGAACTTGAACTTTAGCGAAGTTGACTAAAAGTGTGGCTCTGTCGCTTTAAGAAGCCCCCACCGCCGCACAGCGGAGGGGGAGAGGCAGACTCTTGGAACAGCGATTGAAAAAAAAAAAAAGCTCCACCAGCGGACGGTTTCAAGCGGCCCCGTGTGCTCCTGATTTGTGCCGATGTTGGGATGTGAAAAAAAGCGGAGCGGAGTGCAGAGAGAGAGCAGAGACAGGACTGAGGACTCACACTGGAGCTATGGACACACTGGCTTTAACACGGAGCTTTCTTTGACAGGTGCCACCGAGAAAGTGTCACTACAGCCTCCATCATGTACGGCAAGGGGAAAGGAGCCGTGGTCCCGTCCGACAGCCAAGCCCGAGAAAAGTAAGTAGAGTCCGCAGAGAGTGCAGCCTGGACTGGGCTCTGCAGCCTTGTGCTGGAGCCCTGTGCTGGAGCCGGGCTCTGGAGCCGCTCTTCAGCCTGGACCTGGGCACTGCTCCGCGGAGGGCTTCTCCGCAGGACACCCTCCAGAGGCAGGGAGCACATCCCAAACTCCTGCAGGAGTGTGTTAGCCTGGAGCTAGCTTACCACGGCGCCTCTGTCCCAGCTGCAAACTCTGTAAAGTTTCCTGTGCTCCAGGCTGCAGCGGGAGCGCACACCTACATGTGTGCTTGTCTGTGTTATTTGTGTGTTTATGTGTGCACCTATGTCTGTGTGTGTCTGTATCTACGCTGGAGCTCTGCTCAGGGGGCTTCGTGCACTAGTAGAGCCGGGACCCCGTGCTCCTGACGGGGAACAATGCGTGAGGCGCAGGGCATTGTGGAGGCTGCTCTGTGTGCTTTGTGTCGCCTGGACTCAGGACTAGTCTAAAATAGAGTCCAGCTGTTAGAGCGTTGTTACTGAAACGATCACCGTCACAACAGGTCCGTTTACACGCTGAAATCTCCATGAGCTGGTGAGGGGAGACTGAAGCTGAGAGAAGCGCTCACAAACTTATGGGGCCCTGGTGCTGCTGAGCTGGAGCCGGGATCCTCCACTCACTGGTCCACACACTGGTCCACACACTGAGGCTGGAGCTCTTTCCTCAACCCCGGGGCTGGAGACCAGGCTCTGCACGGCTCTCCTCTCCTCATCGAGCGTTAGCTCTAAGCCCATAGCTCTGGAGCCCTTTGTCTGAGGGGCTGCATCATGAGCCTGTTGTTCCCTCTGGAAACTCTGTAGTGGAGGCAAAGGGCTCTGTGTGAATGTGGAGGATGAGGAACTGCATGTGTGGACCATACTCGTCTAGTACATGGACTGGCCTATAGTTTACAATGTGTGTGTTCATGATACAATTTAATGAAATTATAGGGCTGTTTTCTACTGCATATGTGGACCGGAACCCTCTGTGGATGTCCTGGGCTATAGGCTCCTGCATGTGTGATCAGAACTCTCTCTATGGGATTCTGACTAGACTATATGTGTGAACTATAACACTTTGAGGATGTCCCTGGATATAGACTACTCTATGTGAAGATCCACAACACACTGTACTGGATGCACTGGGCCATACTTGACTACATGTGCACCATACAGTCAGATTATCTGAAAAGCCCGTGGCCAGCCGCTCTCCCCTCTGACAGTGGGCTTTAATGGTGTTAGGAGCAGTGTGTAAAAGGTTTATAGGAGTTGTTGTTCCCTCACAGTTCACTCACCCCGGGGTAAATAAGAGGTGAGGGGTTGCACACAGGTGATGTTTGTGTGGAGCGGCGCTGACTGCTGGGACCTCCAGTGTTTGTGTGGACATCAGCACGTCTTTAGCTCTGTCTTTAGCTCCGTTCTGGTCCCACTGCTTTCCCTCTCCACCATCCTTCACTCCTGTGTTCAATTATTGAGTTGCGCGGCATTGGCTCCCGCTCAGCCCAGAGACACTGCAGGACACAGGAGAGGAGATGAGGTGGACCCTCTCATCCATCTTTAACATGGGGCTTGTCTCTGTAGCTCCACATGCAGTAGTAATGTTCCTTTACTGTACTGGAACAACTTTGACTAAGATGGGAGAAGGGACGTCACTATTTCAAATGTTAGTGTGAGAAAGAGGCAGGGCTGAGTAGTCGACCAATGAAAGACACAACTGCCCCGTCGATCGATTACCGGTTGTCAACTAAAAATGGGGGCGTGGAAAATGCTTTACATAATATGTGGCTGTCCCAAACTGTACACATAACTTCATTAATGAAAACAAACTATTTAGTAAAAAAAGTTATTGTATATACCAACATCATTGCCCCATATCTTCTAATTTTTGCAATTTTAACTATAATAATGCACTAATAAAACATTTTTTGGACTGAGGAGCCATCAACCAATTAATCGGCTAAAGAAACAACCAAACATTCACAGCCCTAGAAACAACGCCACAGTGAAACGGATATTCAGTTAAAGACAGAAGTCAAATCCTCTTCTAAGTGCATAAATGCTTGAAGATGGTATTTTTTTTTATTTGAACATTGAAAACTAAACTAGAATTTACATATGGGGCAAACTTTCTTTTCAAACAAACTTTGAGAACATTAGATTAGATTGAAAATGAGTGTTTTTTTTCTTCTAAAATGAAAACAATCACTGTATGGTTTTTATTGTGACCTGAAAATTCATGATTGAGTAACATAACCATCTTTACATTCCTATGTCAGCAGATACACTTTTGATGCTTATGAAAGTGCAGCATATTGTGTTGATGGAGTGTTTGTCGCCCTAGTTTGCATACAGATTGGTTATATATAGAAGTTCTGTAGATAACATCACAACATTTATAATTTAGCGGCAAGTTTCAAAACTATATGACTTGTCAATAATGTACTTTCCTCTGTACAAGCTCTAAAAGCAAGGAATTAGAGCAGCTATAGTGTCAAAGCAAATATAAAACACTGCCTAATATTTAGTTTGTACCTGACGTTTGAAAGATTGAAAACCAGATTAACGACTAATGATACTCGCTTTTCTCAGTGATGCAGACTTTGATCCGAGTCTATTTTGGACCAAAGGAAACTGCACTACTGAAGCAACAGTGGCGGAAATATTAAAACTAGAGTGTGATTTTGACAGACAAAAAAGAGGCAGAACAAAATCAGCTGGGTTTGGAGATTTTCCCTGGAATGTTGAAGCAAACTTTTTTTAGAATGTAAAATGGTACCTCTATTGCCTCAGATATGAACTGAAACGTCAATTTGCTACAGTTTCTATACATGATCCAATCAAAATATACAATTAAATGTAGTCTTTTATAGCCCTAAATCATAACAGTAGATTTCTCGAAGGACTTAGCAAAACCGTTGAATTTGCCAACACCGATCAGAGAATCAAACATTTCAAACACAAGAAATGCAATGATTTAAAAAATAAAATGTTATCACTATGACAACATTACTTTATTCTCATCATTCACCTTTTATGGGTGAAATTCTGGATTCACTTGAGGCTCAAAAGCTTTATTTTTGGATGTAACACCACCAAACAAGTCCTCCTGTGTCCGCTATAGTCACTTATGTCAGCAGATCTGGGAAGCATTTTTCCTCAAATTAACCATATTTGGCCCAGTAAAAGTGAACTATGTGCGAAAATGAGTCAAAAATGTTTGACAATCCTAGCCTTTTGGCGGGAGCAGCCGACAAACTCTTCTGGAATTTCCTACAGGCCATCTATTGCAGCCATCTTCCCACCAATATTGTCCCTACACAGGACCCGTACCCCTGCAAGACCCATCCCACAGCCTCCCCTTTCCTCTCTGGGCTATCCCGCTCCCACCGGCCCCTTTCGACTTCCCCTCTTGCTCCTTCCTTCTCCCTGGTTTTAATAATGCAGTGAGCCAGGTGCACGCATGCTCCTGCCCCCTTTACAAGCAGGACCAAAACGCACACACACACATAAAAAATTGATAGAGGGCCTCTCGAGGGGCTGTGATCCAACAATTCCCAGACTGACTGGGCGAGAGCAGGAGACCAAAGCCCTATGGCAGAAAACTCCAAACTTTTGCATGACGTGAAGTGGTTAAGAGCAGGTGAAGCTGCGTAGTGATGCGTAGGGGACAAACAACATCAATATTTGAAGGCTTTGTGGGTTCTGAAACTCCACATGACACGGGTACGGTAGAACAGAACTACTGTGAGCGGTGTTTTGACATCAAACTTAAATTCGGTTTGTATGTTTAGTAGTTTATTTTGTTTTTTTTGTTAAGGGTCCACTATGTCACTCTGTACCTGCCTATTTTCCTTCACTGATCTACAGGGTCTTGAATAGACTTAAATGTACTTTTTAATCCATTTTCATCAAAGACATACTTGGAATTTGGCTTCATTCAAGCTTGTTCATCACTCCTGTTTACTTTCTTTGCTTCAAAACTTCTCTCAATTTCAAATTTCCCAGGATTGCGACGTCAAAAGTAGGACTCTGGCGGTTGGCTGTAAATCATTTCGAGTTTTGTTCTGAACCCTTCCTAGGGCATTCCAACTGTATGCTTATTACAGTTATAGTACATAATAATACATAACTAAATTCCCACTGCTGCTGCTGTTTCAAACTTAGTCCAGATCATGTTTTAGAGCAACATACATTCTGGGGGTGGTTAAATCGGTGACGCCACTACTTGCTAAGTCACAAGATGCACTTTTTGAACATGTAGCATGGAGAAACTATGTGCTTTTGATCATGGCAGGATAAACTTTAGCACTCTTAAGATGACTCTGTTAGGGCCATGAGGAGAGTTTTATATTTAAAAAAAATTGTTTTGCATATAGGTGAAATGTCAGCAAGGAATTCCTACAAATGTTCTGAATGGCGATGAATTCAGAGATAAATGTACCAGGCTGTGATTGTCAGAAGTGGATAGACTTATTCCTTTATACATTTCACTAGGTATGTTTCTTAAAGGAAGTGTTCTACAAAACCATGTGTGAGGGTTAAAGGATTTTGGTTTGTTTAGTCTCGAACTGCACAACGGGCTTTTTATGTAATACATTCTTTTTGCCTTTTTTTAATAGTGACTGATGAAAGTCTTGTGACAGATGTTGAGTGGGAACACAGGGAGGCCGTTTAAAACAATAGCTTTTAAGTTGGTTAATTGAAGTGATCTGAGCTCTTGTGTTCAAGGTGGACTTCTAAAAACCCAAATTAAACGTTCGATACCAGATTACGACATACAGCACAGCCAAGCTATTTACATCTCTCAAGAGACGCATGAAACCCAACTTTGGGTAACGCAGTTTAGTTAGCAAATAGCCCACAGCGTTGTCCTATTGGGCAACATTTACTTTTAAGAGCATTAGACCATGATTATAATTGTTTTTAGTTTTATGTTCAGTTGATATAAGAGCATTATAGGAATTTTGGCACCACTTCTTGCTGTAGTAAGTAATCTATTGCTTTGAGTGGTAATCTATAAGGTTTACTTAATTTAATGAAATCATTCTAGATCAGGGGTCTCAAACTTGTAGCTCACCACCCCTTTTCAGGTAGCTCTCCAAAGGATTCAAGAATTTCACTCATCATCCTGAATCTTTCACCTTTGAGTCATAACATATCTATTTTAACTATAAATCTTCTCATAAATGCAGTTCAGTATAATGGTATGTTATGCATGTGCGTTCTTCATGATTGGCTGTAGTTATTATTATATAGACTAAAATTATATTAAGACCAGTAAAAGGAGTAGCTCTTTGTCATTTCTGTAGCTCTACAATTGAAAAAGGTTGGAGGCCTCCTGTTTTAGATCAATGCTCATCTTTTAAAAGTCTAATGATGATCCACAGATGTCTATAGCAAACTAAGCATCCTGCAGTGTTGGCCCGGTCATACTTTACTCGGCCGTTCTTGTGTGAAAGTGTCCACTCCAGCCGTGCACTCTACACCAGTGGTCAGACAGAGCGTTGTGACCTACAAATTGCCAGAAGCCTCAGAAAGTGGTCAGATTCCCTAAAGAGCCCAAGTAAGCGTCTTTAGCTCCGGCTTTGTACCGCTGGTAACTCTCTCCGTCTCCTCCCACCTGTTTACGAGAGGGGAGCACATGTTGTAATTGTCTGATCTGAATATGGTCGTCTCACAATCAAAGAAAAGGTCATGGTAGCTGTGGCCGATTTGTTTGTTATCTTGATCGGGAAGTTGCAAAATGGACATCGTTTCACGGCTTAGTGGAGGCGATGACGTCAAAGATGACCTGCTGGATCGGCTGAAGATGGAGCCAGGTCACCCAGTTAACCCATGCGGAAAATATACAGAGAATGCAAGCGCGTGGCCGATTTCAGTGGACTGGAAGACCTTTGGACAAGGCTCTGTTTCTCAAGCATTGGGATAGCCAGTGATCCACTACATTTTGGAATATCCAAATAACTTTGTTGTTCGTAGTCATATTGTTGGGATGATACAGAGTAAGGTTTTAAGTAAAAGCTTGTGAACTGAATGTTCAACAACAGCTATAGGTGTTTAAAACCAGACAGTTTGCACATCACTAGTTCACATGCACAAAAACAAAACAATAAAAACTACCCCTTTCAACATACAACGCTGGAAATTAGGCTCTTTTTTTATTACAAGTTGGGATATATGGGACTTGATGACACAGTGGTTTATAAATCAACTAAATCTGGGGTCAAGTTTACAATATGTCTTTTTGGCCAGCATCAGATCTAGATGCAATTTGGGATTTTTTAACCACACAATCGGCACAAAGGTTACCTGGCCAGCTCACGGTTTGTTTGTATGTGTATTGTATGTATTGTGTTTACTTGCTTTTATGAGGAAGAATGCATGGCTGCAATGCAATGTTAAACATTCAAATTTCTCTTGAATTCTCTCAATTTAGTATCTATTGTATTAGTTTGCTGATGTATGATATAGATTTAATTTAGCCACAGGTAGAAATGTAGGCACAAAGAACCGGAGTATAAAACTTTGAATTGGCGTTACAAAAATATGGTACAGAGAAAATAAATGTAAAAATATAAAAAATCAATAACTTTTTTAACTACAGCGTTTATGCATGACATGAGAAGTCGACTAAGTACTCTGGAAAGAGCATCATAATTGCTACACTTTTTGCAGTTGTCCTCATGCTGTATGTGAAGCCGTGGCCAGGTTTGTGTTGGGCATAGCTTGTCTTGTTAATATAAACGAGTGCAGTATTGACACTTATAGTCCATTAGTTCTAAGCTATAAGTGTACAAAGATAAAAGATTGTTTCTGTGAAAGAATGATTGACCATTTTGAAGTACGTTATCCAGTAGAGGACGTAACAAGCAAATAATTGTTTCCGCTTTCTCTTACCTACTGTTATATTTAGACCAGTGATTCATCATGCATGTTATGAGTGAACTTCTCAATCAGCCATTGCTCTTAAAATCCAAGTCCATACACTTCACTTGTGTGATTATTTTCTTATGATTGAATGCAGAAACAACATACAAAAATGAATTGCTGCCTTGTTCCATGTTTACATCACATTGAGTTTGTGGTGATGTACATGTGCGTATCAAGATGGCAATTTCAAGTCGACAATAGTATTTGGCATGCTTCGTAGTCCGTACACCAGTTATTATGCGTGTACATGTCTTTTAAATAAATCTGTCAAATATTTGCACTGTCCATGAGACATGGACAAAGGCGCAGTGCAAAATGGCCACTTAGCCCGTGACCTCCCTGACTATAGGAAGACAGGATATGCTCATTCAGTGTTCATTATGTGTTCATAATATTCCTATGCTCAATATAGCAGTGCGTATTGGTCATACAACCTTCAGAGTTCAAAGAGGACACTCTCGATATTCTATTGATTATTTCTTCAATTAATCAATTACTCGTTGTTTAGAACGGGTGTTTTTTTATCTAAATTAGATGCAGAAAAGAGTAGCTGCTGGAGGACATTATTTATGTATTGCTCATGACCATATAAGCTATTTTAACTATTATTCTATTTGATCATATTTCCCAATAAAACTATTTAAAAATCAAGATATTTTGAGTCCTAACATTTCATCTCACAGCACTTGCCTAACTAACCTTGCCTGACTAACTAAAATAGTTGTCACAAAACAAGTATTATTTGCAATTTATTGTTTTTAATTTTTTGTCCTACACTCTTCAGCATGTTTCCCTGGCGGTCCTTCTCGCTTACCCAGTCAAAGGTGTATTTCAAGTGGTTTATGTAAATAGAAGTCATGTGAAATCTGCATTACAAATGATATTGAATAAAATATTGCTCTGACAAACTCCTTTTCCCCCTCACTTTGTTTGTTGATTATAGTTTCTCTCTGATTCCACCATGTGTGAAACATTTTAATGCCATCAACTTTTAAATATAAATTTTAATTACAAAAACAATGTACAGACTGGCTACAAAATGTATTTAGTTGTTGGATCTCCATTATGATCTTCATTAGTAAAGACTCCATGACTCCCCATGGCCCCAAATACAACCTTTCATATTTTGGCTGCAGGTGCTTACCAGCACCTGCAGCACTTGAATAATCAAACCTAAAGGAGCAGCTACAAGTGTCCGCGTGCTCTACCCTACATGCAGGCGAGACACTAGCAACAGAGGATTAGATTGTAATTTGTCACTTTTTTAACACAAGCAAGCCAAAGCAAAAAAATACATAGTTCTTTATATGATCTACTGGCATTTTGGCTCAAATGGAAACAACCCTGCTGCCCACTACAGTGATCATCTGCTATGTGGCACTTTGTTGTGATAACTGATGTTGACAGCGACATGTTTTAAAATCCCATGTCATTTCTTGCTTACCTCTGTATCCTAAAATGGGATTGACAGCGTTTTCTTTCTTTTTTTGTTAGCTTTATGAAATGTATGATTTATTATGATCCATAGCATTCGGTTTAAATGGCCAACGTAATTGTGATCATTTTGACTGGTTATCTTGCTAAAACGAGACCAGTATTATTCGCACCCCTGCTCCTGTCTGAACGGCTACAAATCAAAGTATCCCGCAGTGTATAAGAAGCGATTACGTGAAGCCTGTTGCATTGATCAGGTATCGAGCCTCCACTTGGTCCCATTAGAAGAGTCGGGGCCAGTGTCATATACTCCACTCCACTGATGCTCCATTAACAGCCTATTAAACGTGACTGAGTGCAGCAGGCAGCTCTACAGTAGGGCCCCACGCCGCCTAAATGACCCAGACTACTGCTATTTTTACTAATTACTTTTCAATTGATAAAGTAGTTAAATTAAATGAATGGGAATCCTTGTAATTCTTTTGTGGGATCTTGAAAGGAACTTTGGAATCTTTCCTGGTTGATATTTGTAACAGATGGCCGATGTTTTGGTATTTGGAATCAAATATTATATTAATAAATAACAATACATGGCACTATTTTACTGAAGTTGTTCCAGAGCTAGAGTATGTTACAAATTGGTAAATGTGTCTTGTGCCCCCCAAATGTTAGTTTTATTTTCCAGATTTCTATCGTAAAGTGGAAATATGTGAAATTAATCTAAATAAAAATGTCTGTAATCACTGATTCTTGAACCTCTCCACTTTATTTGTTAGTACATATTAATATATTTTGTTCATACTGATAAATCGGTACTGTACAGTATGTGCCTCTTCCAAACTTTCCTTAGGTCTCTGCATCCATTGCTACTATTTTGAGATCTAAAATGGTACCCGTAATCTCAAAGTGATAGTTTTTCCGATTATTCATGCAGGGACTCCTCTGGATGTCGTTGGGTGGTGATGGTGTCATATTGTTTAGTCTGTCGCAGTCACTCGCAATGACTCTGTCCTTTCATTACGTAGCCTCTAGTTTTGAGAGGTTTCTTACAAATATGCAACAAATTATTTCTTATTTGAAAATGGCCAAGGTCTGCTCAATGCTGTTCTTGCACTGTTTGGGCAGACTACTGTGTCTTGGTAGGTTTGCAGTTGTACTAGGCTCTTTTCTTTGCATAAACAGCACTCTGTGAGACGTTCAAAACTTGTGAAATGTTTTATACTGCTGTATAGTGACCAATAATCACTTGTTGTATAAGAGAGAATGTAAAGTCCTGTATACTTTAAAATACAGTATTTGGCAAGACTCAGCGCTGTACTTGAATTCCTCAGCTTTTTATAATGGCAGCCAAGCCTCTTGTCGTTCAGTCATGTGTCATGCCTGAATGCAAACTGAATATAAATTGATATTATTATTATTATAGTTCAGATACAGGATATAATTTTCTTTAGCTGAAGGCAGTTGACACTAATGCTAATCCCCTTTTTGTTGTGTCTGCAGGTTGGCGTTATATGTATACGAGTACCTGCTACACGTGGGAGCACAGAAGTCCGCACAGACCTTTCTATCAGAGGTAAGACGCATCATCAGCAAATTAAATATAAATCTAATCCTATACGGAAAATAAACATTTCTCTGCTAGGCCTGCTTTTCACACTTCTGTCCCCATTCCAACCTTATGTGGTTTTCCCAGAGTCAATAAAATAAAATAAAAAAATAAAGAAAGAACTTAATTTTTGATATCATATTTTTGTAGGTACCGGTTTAATTGATGCATTTACAAAATTACAGCTGACAAACACACTTACTTGGCTCTAATCCATAGCATTTTCTATTACCTAAAGGGACGTAAATTATACAATCGTTTTGAACCGTGTTACATTGTACCCCCATCAAAAACAGACCTGAAGTTGCTTTTAGCTCCATCCAGACTACTGTGAGGAACAAACGCCTAAATGCTCCTTGAAAGCTTATTTTGCTGTAACCAATCCTCATGCCACTTTAGTTAAACCAGACTTGTCCAGGGGGCGACAACACGTATTATAATACCGTTTTGACTGGATTCATGCAATTCTAGGTTTTAACAGGATATGACGTCCATATCGATTCACACCACAACTATATTTTCCCCATGAATGAAATTTTGGGACACATTTCAAAACAAATGTAGTACGGACATGCCTGAGCTATGACATCAGGCACAGAGCCAATTTCTGCCCTTCTCCAGTCAAGAGTTTGATCTTTACTATCACAGCAGAATGAATTGTATACTTTCTGTATCACTACTCAGGATGACTTCTTTATGCACTATGAATGTGTTATACAAAGATTACTTACTCACTATAAAGATGTGTCTAACTATTTCCTCTTAACAATGTATTTCCCATTCTAACTCATGGATTGGCAAAGAAAATACTCCTGCATAAGGACCCAAAATTACACTATTCATGCATCATTTGTGTCTTTAATGCTTATGCACAAATGGAGATGCCAACTGTTTTTGGCCATATGTAAACGGAGGCAAAGGGTCCACTCCCACCTCGGTGCTGTCGGACAGAGCGGCGTCTAAACACGGCTAACATGATTACAGGGCGCGCGCTGTTACATCAATCTTTCATGGAAATCCGATAAAGCCGCAGCAGATCAGGCTTGCGGTGCGTCCGGCTCGCTCAGCCCAGGTGCGAACAACAACCGATGGCGTCATAGCTGTGCTCTGCTGCGTATTTAGAGCGGCCCACTTCCTTTCCCAGCTTATTGTAACGCATGCATTTTTAAGGGACGACCACTTTATATTGGGTTTTGTGTATTTCCAAGATTTTTTGTCCATTAAGCCCCCAAACTTTGGTCAAACCTATTGAGATCATGGATTGGGACATTTATGGACATTGATCATCAGCCCCCTATGGACCAATGGCTCCCATGTGTTTGTTTTTATTGCATTTCCTGAGTTTGAACTGTTTGATTCTCTGATCTGTGATGGCATATGAACAATTTTGTGATTTAGGGCTGTACAAAAATGAATTGAATTGAATTAACCTGTTGGTGACACTGGGCTAGGCCTGTCATGATCACCATAAAATGAGACATTTTTAAAATGCAATAATTGACCCATCCCTCCTAAAGCAGAGTTTTTTGTTTACTATACAAACAGTAGGGTGAACTATTAAAAAGGCTTATTTATTAATTTTCCTCCCCTTTATTCATCAATTCCTGGGTTAGGGGAGTGGCAGTCAGATTTGATTGCCTCAATGAATCTGTGAATGTTTATAATGACTTGATAGCAGAGCTGTGTGGCGTTGATGCATGTTTTTAGTGGTAGGGGAAACCGGGGTATCTGGAGGACACCTATGCAGACATGGGGAAAACATGCGAACTCTTGGGATTGAACCCAAGACCTTCTAGCTGTGAAATAGAAGCATGAGTGGAAGGATTATTTAACAAACAATATTCAATAAGTGGGTCAAGATCAATGCCCAGATAATGTTGCATTTTTGTTAAGATTGGGCATTATGGGTTATTTTTTACTAAATCTTATTGGAACTACACTGTATTTACGTACGTATCTTGTCAGGGAACTTTAAGATACCCAGGACAAATTTCAAATATTGGCGTACAAAAGAAAGTTTGTGATTTGCGGATTGTATTTCCTTCTCTGTTAACGTTTCCTGCCTTTTGCACCTTATTTGTCCAGATTCGGTGGGAGAAGAACATCACGTTAGGAGAGCCTCCCGGATTCCTCCACTCATGGTGGTGGTGAGTGTCTACTTTGTATAAACATTTATTCTACTTCGCCCAGTGCACTGAAGACTGCAGCTATGGTGGCAGAGGGATGAGCAGTTTATACTTAACTAGACACACATTTAGATTCTAACCTCTGTATGGAATTCTGTTAGGAGTTTGTAGACAAGTCAAATATTAGTATTCTAAGTTTGTATTCTTCTACCTGTTCTGACATGGAACACATAGGCGTTCTAATCAATTAGATTTGTAGAAACAATAAGATAACACTGCCAACCAACCAATGATACCAGTGTAAAAAGCGATGGTTAGAAAGTACATTGTTGTCGTTATAATCATCTCGAAGAAACAAGGTAGCAGTGAACAGACCAGAAATGTATGTTACGGAGCACAAGGGGCAGATTTTACTGTATTTATTTTTTTATTTATCTAGATGTGCACACAGCACTGGACAAACCAGATGCCCTGCCTTTTAGGGTTATTGCAAAAACTATTTGACTTTACTTTATGACTACATATTGTCATTCAACATACATGTAAGGAATAGCCATATGCGTCGCTATATGCCTCTTTGGGCCATAGAAGTTTGTTTCAGGAATCATTCAAGTTTGACACCTCTGTCAAATGTCAGTACCCCATCTCGAGCCAAAAAATACCCCTTGGAGGGCCCTGCTTTGCACACCCTTGTTCTAATCTAGAGGAACAAGTGACAGTCCTTTCACCCCTAGAAATTCCCTCAGCTTTTAATATCATTAAACATGAAATAACTTGGTAACGTGTATATCCATACAATAAGCAATCTATATTATCAAATATTACATCAAATGGTATGTATTAAGTACTCAAACTAATTAGTGTTACTCCATTATTTTATTATTAACTACATGTAGCCATAGTCCGCACTAACTGTTCTTGTGATAATTTGAGTCGAGTGGATCAGATTAGTCATAACATACCACAAGCGTGTCGGTGGAAACCTCGAGATAAGCAAGGCTCCTCCACTCCTGATACGGTTTCTAATGTTTCTACTGTTCATATCGTTTGAACAGTGTTAACGGTGCCATGTACAGAGCCAAGAGGGGCACTGCAGCCTGGCCATAGCGTTAGCATTAGCCACGTTAGTATAAACTATGTGCCTGGCTTTGATTACAACGCTGTGGCTTTGCGCTATGCTTTACTAGCGTTGCCTTTACTGGTTTTAATGTAGCTAAATGCGAAGGGTTAAATTCCCTAATACTCTATATACAAACTAGCTGTTCAACATTACTATGATGATGTCTAAACACATTTTACTATTTGTGTGTTTTGGGAAGAGCAAAGTGGCCTACAGTACTATTCAGGGAGTATTGGTGAGGTATTTAGATTCCTCTCAATTATTACCATGTGTTCCCGTGAAGCAGGGCTCCGGGTTTTAGATTTAGCTCTCCACATTTTCACTACAGTCAACAAAAACATAACACAAACTAGTTCTAATTCACAGGTTGCAGATTAAAGGTGCTGCTCTTGATCTTTACAATCTTGAAAAATGAACGAAACTAAACACTAAAAGTATCCTGGACTCGCACAATCTATTGGTCTAATTAAATATATTTTTTCAACAACAACTTTCAGAGCAAGTTGTTGTCGTTATTTTGGAGAATAATAAAGAGCTGGTCAGTTTCCTAACAATACACTTTGAGTTCATTGTAATTGTTAATATAATTTGACAGTCATTATCATAACAATATAAAAAACCTTAACCAAACTACATTACATAAATAAGAATATTTAAATGAAATCTCATGAGTTTTCCCTCGTTTGAAAGATATTCAATGTTTTATCTATATTTATATCAGGGGCATACTGTAGTCTAATATAGGCTCAAAATAATGACAGTGTTTCGACCAAAACCCCCAGGTTGCCTTTTCCTTACACACGGAGCGACCCAGGCTGATGGATGGCAACGACTCGCCGTTTATCCCTATTCGTAGGTAGTCTTTTTGCAGTGGCACGTTCTTTTGGGAACGTTCAAATTTTCCGGTATTTTAGGCAACAATACTTAAACATGGGTCAAGTGAAGGTGTTGGCTTTCATTTTCAGCAATCTAATTTGGTCCAAATTCAGTCCATGCTTTTGTCATTGTCTTCAAAGGTTATAAAACTAGTTACAATACTTTGCATAATGACTGTTCCCTGTAGATGATAAGCTTGCTCTAGTCCTTGTGATTCCCTGGGTGTACTGCACCGTGCTTCACAGCTAGATGATCCTGGGTTCGATTCCAGATGGGACCTTTCTGTGTTTAGTTTGCATGTTCTCACCGTATCGGCGTAGGTTTCCTCCGGACGCTCAGTTTTCCCCTACCACTAAAACAAGTGCAAGAGGTGAGGGATGAGTGACTGAGTGTTTGTGTACGGTTGGGAATTGGCTACAAAAATGTTCAATCCGTAGCAGCTGCTGTCTATTCAAATAAACAAATACAAAAGACTTTGAAAGTCAGGAGTTTGTTGTGACACGTTCCTGTCTTACCTGTGGTTAAAAGCCTACACCAATTCAAATAATCCATCTCAGTTTCCCACTGTTGTCCCAGGCCAACGAGGCATTCCAACCTGGGTCAAAAAACACTATAGACGCACATGCTCTAATTTGATCTATAGTATGTGTATCTATGAATGTGTCTTCAGACTATTGCTAAATGTTGGCTCTAAAATATCACATTTCTATTTGCTCTTTGGTCTGCGATCCCCAGTCATCCTGCCTGACAGAGGCCGGAGATTAGCAGGTGTATAGGTGGCCCGACTCTCCTAGCTTGAACCAGACTTGGCCTGGGCTGTGACCCTTCCTCTTTGCTTCCCTTCCTCCAGCCCTCTCACCCTCACCCCTGCCCCCCCAGACAATGGTCCCAGATGGTCCTGAGCATGCCCCCCCCCCCATCCTGCCTTGTCACCCCTTTGTCCCCCGCACCCCCGATGCTCGGCCCTTTGTTTGCAGGATTCTGGGCAGATTAACCCGTTGCATTCCAGATCCATTGTGTTGTTACCTTTCGCTCCGGTCTCTCGCGCTCCCCCCGTGAAAATGTGGTCCTTTGAGTCACCTCTGACAGATCACAACGTCTATGATCACAAGATTGAAGGTGTAGTTGGATATGGTTTCTATATTTTTATTTATTTAAAAAAACTAAATATACCATGCAGTATTTAGTGGCCCTTGACCATGATCTTGAGAATATTTACTAAGGTATTTCACATGTTAGAATGTTAAAATAAACAGCTAAATATATGGATAAACGTATACAATGGAGATGTTTCACAACTCCTAATGTATTCATCCATCAATTGGCTGATCTGGGTTGCACGCCTCACAGAAGGTCATAGGTTCGATCCTGTGTCGGTCCGAGTTTCCATCTTTCCTTTTGACTGAACAGGTTTCCTCCAGGCCCTATGGTGTCTCCATCACCCAGAACATGTAGGTGAAATACTCCAGCTCCAGTCTTGACCAAGAGCATCAACATCTGGAGATGGGTCCCTGGACTATATTAACAGATTAATGAATTAACGTTTACAGCTTTAGCCATTATAAAGACCTTAATCATCCATCCATCCATCCATTTTCTTCCGCTTTATCCGTTGCCGGGTCGCGGGGGCAGCAGTCTAAGCAGAGACGCCCAGACTTCCCTATCCACACACACTTCCTCCAGCTCGTCCGGGGGGACCCCAAGGCGTTCCCAGGCCAGCTGCGAGACATAGTCCCTCCAGCGTGTCCTAGGTCTTCCGCGGGGCCTCCTCCCGGTGGGACGTGCCCGGAACACCTCCCCAGGGAGGCGTCCAGGAGGCATCCGGAACAGATGCCCGAGCCACCTCAACTGGTTCCTCTCGACGTGGAGAAGCAGCGGCTCTACTCCGAGCTCCTCCCGTGTGACTGAGCTCCTCACCCTATCTCTAAGGGAGCGCCCAGCCACTCTGCGGAGGAAGCTCATTTCGACCGCTTGTATCCGCGATCTTGTTCTTTCGGTCATTACCCAAAGCTCATGACCATAGGTGAGGGAGGGAACGAAGATTGACCGGTAAATCGAGAGCTTTGCCTTTCGGCTCAGCTCCCTCTTTACCACAACGGTCCGATACAGCGACCGCATCACTGCGCACGCTGCACCGATCCGCCTGTCAATCTCACGCTCCATTCTTCCCTCACTCGTGAACAAGACCCCGAGATACTTGAACTCCTCCACTTGAGGAAGGACCTCTCCACCCACCTGAAGAGGGCAGGGCACCTTTTTCCGGTCGAGCACCATGGCCTCAGATTTGGAGGTGCTGATTCTCATCCCAGCCGCTTCACACTCGGCTGCAAACCGTCCCAGTGCATGCTGCAGGTCCTGGTTCGTTGGAGCCAACAGGACAACATCGTCCGCAAACAGCAGAGATGAGATCCTGTGGTCCCCGAACCGGACCCCCTCCGACCCCTGGCTGCGCCTAGATATTCTGTCCATAAATACAGTGAACAGAACCGGTGACAAAGGGCAGCCCTGTCGGAGGCCAACATTTACCGGGAACAGGTCTGACTTACTGCCGGCAATGCGAACACAGCTCTGGCTCTGGTCATACAGGGACCGGATGGCCCTCAGCAGAGGACCCCCGACCCCGTACTCCCGGAGAAGTACCTTAACCAGTAGACCTTAATCAATGATAGGAAACACAAAATAATAACAATAATAACAACTCTGAGTCTGGAGTGCAGTTTGACATCAGATTAACAACACTTTTCGTTTTCTTTATTTTCAATTTAACTATCATTGGACACTATTGTATAGCCATGTCAAGTGTCTCTGTCATTGCTCCTAATATATTTCCTAAATTCAGTTTCTCACTGAATTTCACACACACTCACTCTCATTTGACTGATAACTAAAGCACAGATCTTGTAGTCGCAAGTGTACGTTGAAGGGCCCAGCGGACACATGATAAACGACAAGTGCAGACGGCGAGTGAGGGCCTGACCAAGAGGGGCGTGCGTAGTGTCCTTTATGATGCCGCTCGAGTGCGTAAGAGCACTATGGAGATACGAGAGGCTGAAATGGCTTATGAATTGCCACCACTTCATTTCCCGCACTGCTCCACAAGCCCACCTCTGACCCCGTCCCACTCTCTTGTTTTCCATTGCAGTGTATTCTGGGATTTGTATTGCGCAGCACCGGACCGAAGAGAAACGTGTGAGCACTCCAGCGAGGCCAAAGCCTTCCATGACTATGTAAGTACAACGCAAATGTTTCCTGTCTGATTTGGGGTGGGACGGTAGGACTTTTCTATGGTATGATTGCTCGGTTTTCCTCTACAGAGTGTCCAGATGATTATCTAAAACGGACCAAACAGTGGCCAAGAAAGAATATCCCCGTATGCCACTAATGATACCAATAAATGAAATAAAGAACCAGTCATTTGTGGGCTGTTATCAGATTTGGTCCCCACAATAATAATCTATGCCGTCTGTCCAAGATACCTTAAAGCTGGGGTACCTAAGTTTTTGTTTCATATGTAATGCGTTTTTTTATCTTTAGCAGAGTCTTGTATATGCACAACTTTCAGTACAACAACTGTCTTGCACTTTTATGCTTGCTGAAAGCTGATTGGTCCACTCTTTTTCACTTATCTGGCTGAGCATACTGACCTAAAGGCAAATACATGCATGTGAAAACCTAGTGACGGAACCAAACTTTTTTGAGATCAAAGAACAGGTTAGACGCTTTAAAAAAAAGTGCTGGGCAGAAACTTAGCGTGACGCCAGCTCTCCTCCAATCACAGAACGAGGAGTGTCCTCTAGCTTCTACAGTGCAGGTAAACCATGGATCTATGAGGTAAACACAGCAGCATGACAGATGATTGCGGCTATAGCTCCTCTGGCTGTAACTGCATACACAGCAAAACAGTCAAAACGACGCAACAGTGAGGAAGAGAAGAGGGAACTAAAGCAAAAAAATTATCAAAGAAGAAATCAAGCCCGGGTGAACATAGTGAGAATGAAGTTAGCTTACATCGCATCCTTTGGAGAGACCTGCGGGAGCAGGACCGCCTCGGACACCATTTAGATGCGAAACTAGTGGTAATATTTCAGTTATATATTTTGTTAGCAGTGCGTTGCTTTTGTACAATTTCATCAGTGATTGTTGTACAGCTTACAAGAAGTTGTGCTCATGCTAATGTTTGCATACGTATCAGATTGCAAATAAAACTAGATGGCTCTGTGACAGGAGAGCGTAGGGGAAATGAGAGACCTGTGAGCGAGCTGTGAGGCGGTGCTAAACATTAAAACTGAAAAAACCTTGTAGAAACGTGTACAGCTCCTTTTAACCCTTCAAGGTCTAAGCTCATTTTGGGGAACTTTCCTCGCCTGGTTTTCTTTGTGTATAATTGCTCATAAAATAGTCATCTTGTGATGCAGAGTCAAGCAGTAAACTTTGTTTTTTTCAGTACAACCTGTGGATTTATAATATTCATAGTGTACAGCTGTCATATGAATTATATAAAAAATATGGAATCATGAAGACAAAGAAAAAAATTAAACGGAAATTCAATTTCACCAAAATGTTTTGAAAAACACAATGAAATGCTATTGCTAACGTTTTACACTGTATAGAAATGTTATTTAGTAGTAGTAGTAAGTAAGTAAGTAATCTTTATTTATATACCGCCTTTTCACTGCAGATCTGAGTCTCAAAGCGGTTTACAATTGTTAATTTTTTTGGGCATTTGTCTCTCACTCCACACAGAGATGGGAGCGGGGTCGCCAGTACAGGAGGCGCATGCTAGAACTATTGGACATATTTTTAGTGGTAGGGGAAACCGGAGTACCCGGAGGAAACCTACGCAGACACAGGGAGAACATGCAAACTCCACTCAGAAAGGCCCTGGTCCGACCGGGATTCGAACCCAGGACCTTCTTGCTGAGAGGCGAGAGTGCTATCCACTCAGCCACCGTGCCGAGTCTTGGGGTTGATGGGGAAAAAAATTGAACCTGTGACTATTATAATTTTTACAAAATTCCACTACAAGTGAAAAAAACGCTGTACTCCTGATGCCCTTCCTGAAGCAGTTTGTCTATGTCTATATATTGCTTCAGTATCACAGCTGTAAGATATGTAAAACAAAAAAACTAAGAAAACAAAGAAAGAAAAACAACATCTTATATTCATATACATCATATCATTATAATGTATTTATCGATGTCAATAATAAATATATAATATAATTACATCAATAATGCGCACTCTTCAGCCAGGTGCTGGCTCTTGTGAGCGCTGCATCTGCGTCTCCTCCTATCTTTGTGTAATACACTTTCAAGCCCAGACTCTGAACACACACATCACTCGTAGATCACGTAGATCAGTGATCAAAAGCTACATTAGCTGTGTCGGGGACGCATTTTCGTAACATTCCGCTAAAATAATGCGTCTTTTACGCATCAGTAATTGCAATCGCAGCTGTAATTTCAACTATGGGACAATACATACACACAGGAGAGTGGATCATCCTACTCTCTGACAATCTTTGGCAGTCCCTGTGTCAGCGTGTAAGCAAAATAACTTTACTGTTTTGGCTGTTTTACCTCACGGGAGACCGCTCGAAGATCCGATTGGACACCGACTTTCAAACACACGTAGAAAATCCCCCAAAAGTCACACAGACAAAACAAAACTAGCGCTGTAATGCGTGAAATGTGTACTTCACGGAGAAAAAAAAAGTAAGTCGCTACGTTTTGCCGTTCATGAGAAAATTGACCATTTATAAAACATGTGCGCAGGCGTCAGATCCGACGCTCTAGACCCCAGAGGGTTAATAAGGGCCTCCTTATTTGAAGCATGCACAAAGTGAAGGCCACCGAACGTCAGTATTGTAAAGCAGTGGTCCCAAAGTGGGGTCCAGGGCTCTATGGGGGACCCTGGCAGCAAAGTTTGTCCACTCAAAATCTTAACACAATATTACACACTAATTTAACCATCTTTTTTTATATTTTGGCTCAAAAACATGAAAAGGGAAAGGAATAACGTGAATTGCTAGTGGGGACCCCAGAAATTTTTTGATTCATAAATTGCACTGCCAACTTTGGGAACAGCGTTAGTTTTATGTTCTGCCACACATTACCTCACCTTGACTCTCTGATCCACTTTTCAGGTCAGTCTCATTTTGTGATTGGATATCATCGTTTACAGTGATTTGCATTCCAATATAATGTGGTCAAATTCATCCCGGAGCTTGAGGACTTTATAAACTTGTCTGGACCTGAACTGTACTTTGGACCCCCCTTTGGAAGAATTGTAATTGTGTCTTTTCACTCCAACATCTATCATTACTGCAGTTACTTTTACCAAACCTCAAAATGCACATATATATATTCAATCAATAATTAGATGTGTGATTTATTCTTATTATTCGGGCGGCACGGTGGCTGAGTGGATAGCACTCTCGCCTCTCAGCAAGAAGGTCCTGGGTTCGAATCCCAGTTGGACCAGGGCCTTTCTGAGTGGAGTTTGCATGTTCTCCCCGTGTCTGCGTAGGTTTCCTCCGGGTGCTCCGGTTTCCCCTACCACTAAAAATATGTACAATAGGTCTGGCATGTGCCTCCTGTACTGGCACCCCCACTCCCAAAAATAACAACTGTAAACCGCTTTGAGACTCCGATGTGCAGTGAAAAGGCGGTATATAAAGAAAGAAAGAAAGATTACTACTTATTAGATCTAGAAATGGGGATGGCCGGTTAATCATCAACTCATTGATTATTGAAACGTGCTGTTAACTTTTTCACCTTACACAGACGTCAACATGCTGAGAAGAGGTTTTATAAATCTTTATAACTGACTGGAGAATGAAGTAGAATTTTTGACTATTTTTGATCAAACACCTTGATGTGTAAAAAGTCATCTCTATGTTCTCTTTTTGGTAAAATGTATAAAATCCAATCAGATAATAGATTTAATTCGAGTGAACAATCAGCCAACTATCAGATTATGAAAACAAATTCCTAAACTAAATTGGGGTTGACGTTAGATATTAAAACTCACTTTTGCATACATTATTTTGCTCGGGTTTGGGTAGTAAAACATACTTTGCAATAAATCTCAAACTTATTATTCCATTGCCTCTAATCCCTCAAAGTCAAAAGTTTGTGCTTGTCATTTTTTAATCAGAACAATTAGTTTTGTGCACTGAATCTTTGAGAAATTTAGCTATTCTGTCGACTACATACACCACTGGCTATGTATATATATATGTTTGTATATTTAAGCTCCCGCACTAATAACACATTTTATATATTGGTTAACTTCCGCTCAGATTCAAGAAAGTGGAAGGAACATCCTATTTACAAGTCATGTAACAGTTTACCAGAAGTGACCAGACTGTGCTAAAAATAACCAAGTGGACCACTATCACCAGGAAGTCTTCCAGCCTCTGAAGCCCGTTTCACATTTTATTTTCAACTCTCGCAATAATTTGAAAAACCAAAGTGTGAACATGTTTGTTGTTGTCGCTCTGGCTCCTCTCGCCAAGACAGAGCTACATTGTGTCTGCGAGCCGTATAGTGTTGGAGATAATGGAATAGACTTCTAATCCGCTAATCCTCGCACTGGTCCGCAGCTAAACCGGGATTTAGTGGTGTGTGTGTATGTGTGCGCGTGTGTATTTTTGGATAGGCCATCTTTGACAATGAGGTAGAAGGAGGAGGAAGGTGCAAAGGCAAAGTTGACAGCTGCTCCACGTTTCATATACAGTAAATGCGATGGGTCACGATTGTAGTTATCATCACTGCACTGCCAGCCGCGTTTACACGACAACTTTTCACAAATTTGCATTTTTTTTGGCACAAGATTGACATTTTCTTTTACGCTATGAGCTGGGTTCAGTTTAATTTATGACAGGAGGTGCTTGTGTGGTCGTAAACTCCTGGGCAAACTGTTCCAGTCACAAAGGGATGAGAGTGCAGAGCTGATCTAAGCTGGGCCTGGCTCTCTGCTCTCAGCATGGAGCGCCTCCTCAACCGGAACCTACACATTTTTCCCTTTTTTTTTTATCGAACGCATTTCCATAATAGAAATTGTCCCAAGTTATACAAAATTAGTTATGCATAGGAATGTGCCTGCAATGCCTCAGAAAAGCAAAGACAAAGCCCCAAGCTGGTGTATGAATGTATTTTTCTTCACATGTTATCATTGAAATCTCTTGGGCTGAAAATGAGGCGTTTTCCAACTACGGGAATCA